GATTAATAACGCGCAAAGCGTGCCGAGGAATAATCGTTGGGGCAACAAACAAAGGGTGGATAAACAGACGAAAACATTGGAAAACGCGGATTTTTAGAACTGCATCGTTTATTGAAATCATTGACGGTAGAAATGAAGTTTCATTTTTAACGATACCTGCGAATACTTTTTTCAACGTAGCAGTTTATCTCAACGAGATAGATATCCTCGTATCGAACAACTGTGACTTTCTGGAAAATCTGGTTTTTCAGAAAACCGTGTAACATACATTCTCGGTAATCATTTCCTTTTTATTACCTCTTTATACACACAGAGAAATCGTGCACAAGCAAGTCCGTGAAAACGTGTTCCGTAAAAGCGGCCGTCACTCGGCCACTGTACCAGATTTCGCGACAAAAAAATTACCATTAGCTACACAAATCACACATGCTCCTAAACAGAGTTGGGCAACGAATTAATCGACGGCCGAAGTAGAACTCTGACGGAATTACTATATCGACGTATCCTTTAAATTCCATTAGAAAGTCAACAATTATCGATTGTCTCCTTCGATCGGCGATCGACGATTTATTTCATCGGTCGATTAATTCCATTGTCCATTCTTTCGATGATTAATGCGTTTAATGAACAAGCGACGACCGCATCGATCAATCGGCTAATTCGATCGTCCATTCTTCTGATGATTAATAGCTTTAATCAACAAGCGACGACCGCATCGATCAATCGACTAATTCGATCGTCCTTTCTTTCGATGATTAATGCGTTTAATCAACGAGCGACGACCACATTAATCAATCGACTAATTCGATCGTCCTTTCTTTCGACGATTAATGGCTTTAATCAACAAGCGACGACCGCATCGATCAATCAGCTAATTCGATCATCCATTCTTTCGATGATTAATCCGTTTAATCAACGAGCGACGACCGCATCGATCAATCGGCTAATTCGATCGTCCATTCTTTCGATGATTAATGGCTTTAATCAACGAGCGACGACCGCATCGATCAATCGGCTAATTCGATCGTCCATTCTTTCGATGATTAATGGCTTTAATCAACGAGCGACGACCGCATCGATCAATCGGCTAATTCGATCGTCCATTCTTTCGATGATTAATGGCTTTAATCAACGAGCGACGACCGCATCGATCAATCGGCTAATTCGATCGTCCATTCTATCGATGATTAATGACTTTAATCAACGACCGACGATTGCATTCGTCGACCGGTTAATTGAATCGTCGATTGTTCGACGATCAATGCCTTTAATCGTTCCCATCGATCAAACTCGATCATAATCTCCCTCCGTAACGGTCCAGAAAAGATCCCGTTTTCCTACGCATTGTCAACTTAACCCTTTAACGAGCGTTGCTCAAGAAATTCGCCGCGATCGGCGCCTTATCGGGGCAAGTACGCGCGCACGTACGAAGCGAGCTCGCCTCGCGATACGTGAATGTCTGTCCGCCATCGCGTCGCTTTAAAAGAGACCTCGGCTGTGTTTGCAGTAACGCGGCTCCTGTGTCCGCCGATGCGGAACCGAGCCGAGTCTCTTTCGAAATCGCAGATAGAATACACGTTTACATAACGAAGGCATGCAAAGAAACGAGCGAACGTTTTATGCTGTACGGTTCCGCCGCGCCGTTGCGTAGGTGTTTACCCGTAACTCGTACCTTTATTCCACGATCGTAAAATCGCGGCCGCCTATGCATTCCCGATAAACAATATCGCTCTGCTCGCCGGCTCTACGCGCGCACACATTTACACGCGTGGGTGTACGTACGTGTACGTATACCAGGACGCAGAACAATCCGTGGTGTCTCTCTGGCGCCGATTTTTTTTTGTTTTCCGAACGTTCCACGCTTTCCCCGGTACGCGCTGTCCGATTTAAACGCGTTTTCCACTCGCTAATCTGTACCTTAACGCCTTGACGCGTTGATTACCTTACCACGTGTCGACCGTGTCAGTGATGCAACACATCGCTGCTACGATTTTGCGGGACATTAGCTCGAACTCTCCAAATTGAGTTCGCGAATTCACTGCAGCCGAAATTCGGCATCATTCGAATTCTTTATCTTGTCCGAGATCGTTATTTTTAGGCGAATATTTTATGTTCGAATCACGATTATTCATTATTCGCCGTAAATCGATGCATCCATTTATTAAAGCATTATTCGAATATATATTCGAATATAATAAAGCATTATTCGGATAAATTATTCGAGTAACAATTATTATTCTTATTATTATTATTCGTTACAAATCAATCTATCTGATAAAGAATTATTCGAATAATTTATGACAAATAATAATAATAATAATAATGATAATAATTGTTATTCAAATAATTTATTCGAATAAGTAGGTAGAATAATTCATGACAAATAATAATAATAATAATGATAATAATTGTTATTCGAATAATTTTCGAAGAAAACAATGTATTCGACCGAATTACTCGAAAAGAGATTCTATAGTTATTCGATGCAAATAATACTCGACTGCTTCCATTTTTCTGCAATTTTATAAGAATGTCGAAATTTAGTCTAGCCTTTCGTTTGTCCGATGATTGTTAAACGGAATCGTATTCTCGGGCTTTCAACGATCGCGTTAAACGCGTGCGCGGAATATGTTCGATGCTTCGGACGAGGTTAGATTAAATCCGGCCGAAATTGAAATGCAATTTGTCGTAAATGGGTTTAATAACGGCCCCAGGAATCCTTAATCCGCGAGGAAATAATGGAAACGGCGCCCGACGAAAAATGCGAACCATCGATCAACCGAGTCGGGTTAATTAGCCACCGCGGGAGGGTTACGCTCGAATTTTATCGCGCCCTGTCGGTCGCTGTCGGTAATCGATCCGGCAAAACATTGTTATTTAGCTGCGTGTACCAGTTATCGGCGTTTCTCATTATACGTCGGTTTATCCGCGCTCCGGACGAGCATTCATCCGCACGTAAATGTCGATAACCGGCGAAACGATTTATCGCTTATTTATCGTCTCTGCTAATTGATTTTTCACAGGCTGTCTATTCGTGTATTCTAATCGACTGGTATGGCAGTTGTTTTATTATACATCTAGATCGCGGTGTTACGTAAAATTAAATTTACATAATGTTTACAATGCACCGTTTTATCACGGTTTATACATCGACATTCTTCGAAGATCTTTATGCTTTCTAAAGAGAGTATTTTATTGTGTAAAGTATCTCACGATTCTGTCGAAATAGCCTTGACAACCAGGCCGTAACGCATCTAACTATAATTACGCCTCTACCGTAATTGCGCTTCGATGCCTCTAATTGCATGAAACGTCACAAGCTTTTTCTACGATTCCGCGGTAGACGTCGAAGTGATCTTCTTTTTACCGGCGTAGAACCGACATTTCTAGGACAACGTGTAAGATGACAAAAAGAGTGTCATAACAGTTTTCAATGACACAATGTGTTAATAACTTCTTGCTGGAACAGCAATCATAATTACTTGTAACTTCTCTATTTAGCATCAACGATCGAGCGGCGGCTGTTTTCGACAAAAAATACAATTCGATAGGCTTAGGACAGTTTTCTTAGCTTAGGCATAACAGTTTTCAATGACACAATTTATTAATAACTTCTTGCTAGAACAGCAATCGTAATTACTTGTAACTTCTCTCTTTAGCATCAACATTTTCGACAAAAATACAATTCGATAGGCTTAGGATTATTATTCACAAATTTACGTAAATATAACAATACAACTATGCTATAAATCTGAAGGAAACACGTGAAAATGTAAATCAATGGTTAAAGATGCTTCACGCTATAATACGGCTCACCCTGTACATGCTTTCTTCTGCAGCCGTTATGGCGTCATAGAGGGTAAACGTCGTAACATAAATCACAGTAGATCCATCTAGATAAAGTGTATAAAGTTAAACTACTCCGTGGATGTGAACATGGTCGCGTCATTTCCACGTAATCCAACAGTTCGGTATACGATTACAATACGAGATAAAATAAAATAGTGAAAAGTTTCTGGAGAATTACAAAAAAACAGAAAAGAACAAGACCGTAATTCTACGTAAAAAAAATATAACTGAACGAAATAATCGTACAACAAATCTGGACGAAATAACGAATACATTTCCTTCATTCGAGCCATATAATCGATACTACTCGACTGCCGCGTCTGATCATAACAAACCGGTTCTACTTACTTCGCGTAAATCTTCAAACTTCGTTTCCTCGCCAACTATTCTACATTCTCGACCTATTCTTTAACAGGTTAACTACCGTGTCACCTGTATATGGACGACGGAAGCATTTGCTCGGATTAGAAAATTAAATTTCACGCCAATCGATTACTATTTCTTTATTTTAAACGTAACTTGAAACAAAATTAATGTACGACTTGACTTTTCGATTACAATTTGATTAAATGAAACGCTTCGCCGAGTTCTATCATCTACGGTAAATTTTTCCTAAATGACGCTCAGGTTATATACAAAAATGGACAATTTGGGAAGAGGAGATACGATTATTAAATAACCTTGCAGCACGTTTTTATAGCTGTCGACAATCGGTAACTATAAAAAGGAGTCTCGAGGCTCGAACAATCGCGTCTCCTCTTTCCACATTGACGAGTATACTCGTCGAAACCAGCTTTAATTGCTTAAGAAAAATACATACTTATTAAATCACATATTTAATAAAAATCTATTTTACACAGTATAAATATAATAACAGTAAAAAGATAATAACACTTTCAAATAATGCTGTTGCATTATTTCCAACCTATTAGACAACTTATTAAAAAAGAAACCAAACAACTATTTAACCTTAGTCTGTCGCATTCGATCTAGACAAACTCAATTTTGCCTAAAGATCCACAGTCTAACAATTACATCACTTGCACACCTCTCGAAAAGGTTGCAACAGCTTAATTAAACCAACCAGAGCTCCCTGAAATAACCCGAAAATTCTCGCTACCGTATACTAACACCCGTCCCTCGGTTTCCAGGTTCCTGGCAATCTGGTGGCCGCTGAAGTGTCAGATCACGAAGAAGCGAGCCCGCATGATGATCGTGGTGATCTGGTTCATCGCGTTGACGACGACCTCGCCGTGGCTGTTGTTCTTCGACCTGGTGGCGATCTACGACGACGATCCAGACCTGAGACTGTGCCTGGAGGTGTGGCCGCATCCGGCGGACGGCACCCTGTTCTTCCTGATCGGCAACCTGACCCTGTGCTACGTGCTGCCCACGATCCTGATCTCCGTCTGCTACATACTGATCTGGATCAAGGTGTGGCGGCGGAACATCCCGACGGACACGAAGGACGCGCAGATGGAGAGGATACAGCAGAAGTCGAAGGTGAAGGTGGTGAAGATGCTGGTGGTTGTCGTGATCCTGTTCGTTCTGTCCTGGCTGCCTCTGTACGTGATCTTCGCGGTGATCAAGCTCGGCGGGGACTCGGCTGACCGGGAGGACGAGATCCTGCCGATCGCCACGCCGATCGCGCAATGGCTGGGCGCCAGTAACTCCTGCATCAACCCGATCCTGTACGCGTTCTTCAACAAGAAGTACCGGCGCGGCTTCGTCGCGATCATGAAGAGCGGCCGCTGCTGCGGCAAGATCAGGTACTACGAGACGGTGGCGATCATGTCCTCCTCGACCAGCATGAGGAAGTCCTCCTACTACGTGAACAACAACAACTCGTCGACGAGGCGGGCCTGCCACGGGCCGCCGGTCCACCAGGACAGCAACGTCTCCTACATATTCAACCACACCGGCGTCTAGGCGATCCGTTGGTCCCACCGTACGGAGAAGAGATTTTGATGTTCGGCTATTTCCGAGGCTGGCTGCCCACCGGCGGCTTTCAAAACCGAGGCCGGTCCGAGGCTCATGGTCACGCCAAGATGTCGTGTTCGGCATCGCAACCGATTGTCGCTCGGACCGGAGGATGTCGCCGATTCGACGGAACACCGGAACGGAACGGCCGACGCCCGATTTTTTCAACACGAAAACGACCTGGCTATTTGTTCGCTCGGGGCCGGCGATCGGTCGGTGACCCTTGTTTGTCGACGACGCGATGGAAACAAACAAACAAAGAAACAAACCAACCAACAAACAAACAGACGGACACCTACTACACTGGAACACACGTACACGCAGTCCAGACAGCAGGAGAACAGCGACACACAGAGAGACATATGTACAGACACAGACACACGGACACACGAGTTTCACGATTTGGATCCGTCATTTTGTATTTTCACCGCGCGATAATGTATTTTGTTAAGCAGAACGGAAAACCGAGGCGGGAAAAAAAACGATGCCAGATCTGTAGGAGGGGGGGGGGAAGCAAGCTTCCGGCTCTTGTCTCGCCGTTGTCATGGATCCCTTGCTCCGACATATCCGGACGTCTCCCATGGACGCCGCCCGCCGACCGGACGGGGCTCCGAGGCTGCCGGATACTTTCGGAGGCTTCCTCCTTCTTTTCCACGATCGTCTTTTTAGATTTCTAAGGAATCCACAAGGGAACGAAGGGACCGAGTTCGCCAGCTTGTAATTAGCGTTGATGCGTGACAGCGGCGAGTTCGAGGCGCGATTCGGTCGGCAGCGGGGTAGGGTGCGCTGATCCAGGGTTTTGGGGATCGGCCGCGGGCGGCGGGTGGTCCCGTGCATCTTGTTGTCTCTCGACGGTACACGCACGCACACTGCCACGAGACGCAATTAAGCTGCGCCCGGCGACGCGCCGCGGGTGTAATTAATCCGGAGCAGCTGGCCGCGCGCGACGCCCGCGCGCCGATTCCAATGGGACGGGTGTCGCGCCCGAGATGAGGAATCGCCCGAAAGAAGATGAGGAGTCTCGCTCGAGAAGAGAGGAATCTCCGCCGATCAGCGAACGGCGATACGATCTCGAGCCGATCACGTTTTTCGGTCCTTAGGATTACCTAACACGCCGGCTAATCCCCGTGCGTTGCATGCTGCGAGTTCAGTGACAGTAATTGCATAACACCTAACCGTTACCTTCACACACTATCGGCGTAGCATGTTGCCAGCGTGTCGGAGAGCTAGCAGGCCAGAGAGCGTGGGAGCGAGAGAGAGAGAGAGAGAGAGAGAGAGAGAGAGACTGGGGGAGAGACAGAGTGCGCAAGGCAGAGAGATCGAACCGTTCGATTAAACGTTACCTCCGCACACGAATGAAACAGGATTAAATAGGTATTCTACTTGTACTTATCTTAGCACGGTCGGCTCGAACAGGTATATATACACATATATATTTTCTTATCGGAACGTTAGACGATCTAGTCTTTTTGGGATTTCTTAAGGTGCCATACATATTACGTACGCCTATATAACAATTCTTATCGAGATTATTATATACTAAGACAACACCAGAGAACAATGGACGGTCCTATCGAGACCGATCCACCAAGCAAGACAGATTTAACGATTCTCGCGCTCTCGTCTTTGCCGCGTTATCAACGTTGCCTCCCTCGTCCTTCCAGTTCCCATCACCGTCCGTCCCTGATCACCCCAGTCTCCTCCCTCTCCTCCTCCTCCTTCTCTTCTGGTCCCTTTCCTCCCACACCACGTCACCATCTCTAGCTTGCCCACCGTTCCCCGGAGAAAGGCGGAAGTGACCGACTTACCGTTTTGTCTCGAATTATACTCAATCGATTGCATGTGCGACGAATTAACGCGGTCACTGGCGACAATAACGACCTTTTACGCTCCGGGAGGGCAGACTCCTGTCACGAGCTAGTTCAGAGACCATGATTGTGTACTCGGTGGCCGCCTGGTCGACGACGAGACCGCCGTTTTCCGCTCTCGGCTCGGCGAGGGCGACGGGGCCTCGATCTTCGTCCAACGCGAGCGTTTGCCACGACCCGTGCCTCAGCGCGCGGACCTTTTTTTAGAGCCGGAGCTCTTCGACCGAGTCGTAGGGCGAGACCACGCGGCGATCATTCCCGCGACAGTCGCCACCACGACCGACCCCTCGGCATGGAACAACCTCGCCTTGCATGACAATTGAGCGCGACACCGAGCGCCGCCGATCGGTCCTCGATCTTGGCCAGCCGGGGCCCTCGGGAACGGCGGACGCGTTCGCTTCGAAAGAGCAACGCGGGGCGTCTGGTTTGGTCCGCCAAGACTGGAAGTGCTAAGAGTGGACATCAGCGGACAGAAGGTAGCGTTTCGTCCTGGGCCTGCCGGTGGACCCGTCAAAGGGCCTACCGAGCAGACTCTGCCTTAGACGCAGGGAAGGAATGCGTTCCTCCGCGATGCCGGAGCAAAGTCCGCGGGCCGAGAGGCCGGCGAAACAGTCGATACGCTTGCGCGAGACGAGGTCGCGCGACCCGAACAGCCACGCCCCGCGACGCGGCGCTCCGCCATTGGCCGCAGCGGCCGGCGGGGACGTTCCCACCCAACTGGATCCTCCTACCGTTCAGCCGTCGAGGTGCCAAGCACGCGACAGCTGACCAACGTCCACTCGACCCAGATCCACTCCGACTAAGATCCATCCTAGCTGGATTGCCCTCCGATTAAACTTGCCGAGCGTGACGCAGTCGCAGACTTGGTCGGCCAAACCGCACCTTCCGCCGAGCCGTTCGACGACCGACCGGAGGCGAACGGGGCCCGACGCTCGTTCCGTTCCATGCTGACGGGACCGTCGAGAGTTCCGGCGACCTTCTACGAGACTTTTATCGGGAATTTTACGCAGCGCGCCCCCCTCGATTGCCAGAGGGCGGCGCTCCGTCGATCGGCAATGGATCGTTGTCCGCGAGAATCGCGCGCGCCACGGGACCGGCCGTCGGCGACGGCCAAGCTGGGTCCCGTCCTCGCTCGATTTCCGGCGAAGTCGACGCGCCGGGTCAACGGCGACCCCGTTACGGGCGAGTCGCGACCGGTCGCGTGAACGCGAACGGAACGAGTCTCGCGGTGGACCGAGACACCGTGTGCAACAAGATGTGGCACGTTGCGTGGAGCCGCGGGATTTTATGATAGAGCAACTATTTTCGTAAGGTTTTTATACGTGGCGAGAGACAAGGATGTTAGATGTAACGAACAAAACACACGCGAGGCGTAACTGTGTAGAGAGACGGTCGCGAGGATACACCTTTATTCATATCTATTGTGGCTCAACGACGAGACGCCGGCGTGATTGTTGCGTGACGTTTTTCTTTTTTCTTTTTTTTCGTAGGCGTGGACAAGGACACCGTTTAGGGCCACGCGAGAGCAACATTACGTACGTGAATTACATGTATCGTTGGCACGGGAAACTCGTCGAACGGAGGGCCCACGTTGAGGGGATATTACGAAATCTCGAGAAAAGAGCGACTGTATACGCACTAAACGTGACTAAGCATTTAAGATTACACGATTACGATTGCAATGTTTATATATATATCTATTATATGTATATATATATTTATAAATTATATATATATATGAAATATATATGTACATATAGATATTACACAGAAAACTAAACGTCTATCCGCTGTCTCTATGTAAACATGTAAACTTATTGTATATGTAAGTATGTATATCGTTGCGATGTTGTAATTATACATATATGTATATACATATATATACACCGCCGTTACCTCCAGTCTTTATTCGTTGTCTCAGCGGGAAACCTCACGTCTCATTGATTTGTCGTCGGTGCGAACGGAGCGTGATCGTTCGCCGTTCATCGTTCTCACCGATCATTTTCCTACGCACAGCCGAAAGAGAACGAAAGGGGAACGAAAGAATCACTGTTGTTGGAAAGGCCCTCGCATTGTCCGGCAATAGAATGTACACGGCACGGTCGGTTTGTACAGAGTGGCACCGAACCGAGGGCCCCGGAAAATTGGAGGTCTGGATGATGCTCAGGAAGATCCACGAAAACGATTCGGTTAATACGCCTGGTGGCTCTCTAACGAGCGAACGGTCCTTTTTTTAACGGTGTATCAAGCGGGCGGGACGCGGACAAGTAGTTTTACGCATTTATGGGATAACCGAGTGAGTAGGGAAGAATTCGATCGGGATCTGGACAGCTCTTTTGTTCCGTTTCTTTTCGTTAATTGGCCGATCGGACGCGAAAGGAATTTCTTGCTTCTATTCTCGCGGCCATTTGTCGCGCGTCTGTTGAATACCGATTTCTAGAAATTATAGTAAATTATAGTAAAATTTGATGATATAGTCGGAGCACAGCTCTTTTGTTCCGTTTCTTTTTGTTAATTAGCCAGTCGGTCGGCGAAAGGAATTTTTTTTCCTATTCTCGCGGAGATTTGTCGCGAGTTGTTGAATACCGATTTCTAGAAATTATAGTGATCGATTCATGATACAGTCGGAGCACAGCTCTTTTGTTCCGTTTCTTTTCGTCGATTAGTTGATCGTTCGGCGAAAGGAATTTTTTACTTCTATTCTCGCGGCGATTTGTCGCGCGTCTGTTGAATACCGATTTCTAGAAATTATAGTGATCGATTTATGATGTAGTCGTAGATACGATCGGTAACGATATTTCCAACTATCAGTCGCAAATGATGAAACTTATCTTATCGGTTCGTCTATTAAATTGAGATCCGCTATGATTTTCTAATTAACGCTGGCGCGTAGAATCGATCAGATCAAAACGAAATTAGTTCGGTTTCGATTAATCTCGAGATCCCGTATCGAGGGGGGAGCATAGTCTAAGGTGAAACTATAGGGGTTAGAATAACGAAATCGTTGAATGCATCTGTTCGATGATCAGAGTTTCTAGAGTCTAATCAATTTTGTTACTATTATACTGATTCTTATTAACTGACTGTTGTTAATTGATACTGTAACTTGTATAATCTTCGCTGTTACCACACGTAGCGGAGGGGGGGGGGCTTCATCCCCCCCGGCCTCCTTGAACGGACGACAAGCTCTGTTCCAATTTATCAGTTACATTTGTAATTGTTTTTACATAAAGTCTCTCTTTACCGGATATAAAGATTATATGGAAATATTACATTGTAAATACTATCTATAAAAAGAATATATATATAAATACATATAAATACATATACATATATATACACGTAAATATATGTATGTATAAATATATGAATAATAAATATATATATATATGTGTAATCTTAAGCATAATTTGTATGTTTATAAAATGGAATTTACGTATTGAGATACATTTATATTATAAGTATAATCTTTATTCTTGTATATTCAGAACGGATCGAATCGTGGTTTGTCTATTCGACACGACACGGCCGGTTCACGTTGACTTCTATTAACCTGAAAGACTTTTTGTACGTGTTTCTAATTATCATGCAGCTCTGAATTCTTTGGCTCCGTGTTCGGGTCGCTCTGTATGGAACGTCTACGTCGAACGAACCCCACGACCCCACGACCCCGCCCCTGCCCCGGTGTTTTAAAACGTAATCGATAAGATTTGTGAATAACTTAGGTAAGGATTTGTCGGTCATCTTGATACTTCGATACTTTGGCAAACAATATTATCAGTAGTAGATATCTCGAGCTATTTTGATATTTCAAATATTGTGAATATCACTTGGCAACGATGTTATTCACCGTTTACCCGGTACACAAGCGCTACGCGAATAATATCGTTGGCGTATGGAAATATTTTTGTATTTCGCGTGTTACCATTAAATACTCTTTACAAAACGACGGATACTTGGCACTGTTAGGACCTTTCTAACGCTCTCGTAATTACTCGTGTATAAAAAGAAAATAGGAACATTGTAAAACTCTCGTAGTTGTCGACTGTTGTCTCTGCGTGATGCTTAGAGTTCGCCAGGCCACTTTTTTTACAGCAACACACGCATACTATAATTGTACGAGAGAGGGATACTTTTGACAAATTATTTTCATACAGGTGTACAGAGTGATTCTAAAGTAGATTATTCGGCATTGGGACTGTATCGCGATCTCCTCTACGACCAGAGACCGCTTAATTCTCTGCCCAGCGAACGCTTATAATTATTCACGTCGAAAATGATTCAACGATCTACGAAGCTCTCACAAAGAGGTTCTTGATGCGATTAAATATCGTTGTACTGTTCTGCGGTGATTTCTATTTTTATTTGATCGTTCGATCGTGGACGCGCGACAACGATTGCTCTCTCCCTCGCCGAACCCGTAACAGCTTGATTAGGCTCTCGAAAGCACCGTTATCGGCTCGCATGTGCAACAAACCTTCGGCGTTAGGTTAAATCTCATTACGCGAACGCACTCTGCTTTAACGCGCGTTCGTTTCGAGTATTATCGGATCGCTCGTACTTATCGGGACACGCGTTATTGCACCGCTAAACCAACCTGATCACGACAAACGATCGCTGTCGTTAATTCGAGAACTCGCGAACCGAGTCCGAGTCGCGAAAGCTCGGGTCGCGCGCCTACGTTGATTCGCGCGCGATAGCAAATCGATTGGTTCGCATTGGAATGCCCGACGATCCAATTCGCTCGCGAGACGTCGTCTCTCGATCGCCGAGATGGCCGAGATACACTCCCAAATGTTAAATCCAAATGGTGTCCACGTGTCGAGCTAGATTTAGAGAAGAGTATGCGCGCGAACTATGAAGTTTGCGAAGCGACGTTGAGAGGGCGATTAATCATTTCGTATATCGTACTATACACACACACACACGTATTTATTACGAACTCCGTAAAAAAGAAAGATCACTATGTTCGATTCTATCGCACACCACCACATCCGTTCGCATAATCTCTCACTTACTTTTCTCGCGGAGTCAAGCTGGGTCGAAGCTTTATTAAATATTGTAATAAGAAGACGCGTTGATCAACGACGAGAAACGTCGCAACTCTGCGGCGGTGATGCGCGTGCAATTCGATGGATGAACGATCGGATCGATCAATGTGATCCGGTGTTCTTCGATCTTACAACGTGGCCGGCGATTTCTTTTAGAATGCTCGTCCGTTCCTTTTCGCTATCAACGATAGGATAAGCGCATAAATCGGACGCCATTGCTGGACCAATCCGTCTGCCGGATTAGCTCCGAATGATCCATAATGCGTTTCCATGGCGGTGCGGTGTCCGTTTCGTGCGTTTCTCTCTCTCGTTGCAAACTGCGAAATATGAATTTCGAATCGACGATGCTCGAACGTTGCGAATTTCTAAATCGAAAAAATTCGATTCTCGCAAGAAACGAAAATCGTCTCGTTTCATCGCGGATCGAGGACGAACGAGTGCTTAAATGAACGGAATTGTCGAAGAAATCGCGGCGCGATGGTTCGAAAGCGCGCGTTTACGAAACACGTCGTTTACAAGAATTTATTAGAAATTCGTAGCAGCAAATACAATTTGATTCGAAACGGGCGTAGAATTAAACAAAAAAAATCACGAGAATCGCGTGAATTCTCGGTGAACGCTCTCGTGTTCCGTTATAAATTGCAGTGCGACGAGCGTAAAATGTTAGATTAAGAAGCCACGTATCTGTTACCTGTGCAACCTGTTTTCTGCGAGAATTCTGACTAGTCGTTGCGATTGTTGAATTGTGTTTGAACCGAGTACAGTGATGTCTCCCTTACCGACGTTCAGAATGTCCACAAAAATGGACAATTTCGGAAGAGGAGACACGATTATTCGAGCCTTGCGGCTCGTTTCTATAATTGTTTATATATTATAATATATATATATATATTAATTATTATATATATATATTATATTATATATATATATATAATACTAATAATATAATAATAATATATTATTATATATAATATAATAATAATAATAATATAATATAATATAATATAATACTAATTAGTATTATATATATAATATATATAATACTAATAAATATAATTATTAATTATATATATTATATATATTATTTATATATATAGTATATATATATTATAGTTATATATTATAATTTATAACTATAAAAATAAACCGCGAGGCTCGAATAATCGTACCTCCTCTTCCCAAATCGACCACTTCTGTGCGCGATCTGGGCGTCAATTAGAGAGACATTACTGTCTACATATTGTTTATACGCGCCGCGCGTTAAGCACGCGGCGCAAAGGATTATCGAAGTGAGAACGTAGAAACGAAGTTGGCGAGAACGTTATCTCTTCGGGAAGAATATATCCGTTAACGGGGAGAATGTCGGCGATTCTCGATTGGCTCGCAAATGAAACGTAAACACGAACGGATCGTTTACGATCCGACGACTCAGCATTCCGATCCTTGTTCTGTTACGCGCGCCGCACTTGGTATTGCCCACTCTGTTATTTATACGTGCACAATACACACACACACAACCGACAACATTGAAATATCGATTGTAAAAACAACAACAACAACAATAAGTTTAAGAGCCGAACGTTGATTTAACGAACTTCGTGTTTTTCATGTTTGTGATAATAACCGAGAGACCAACACGACGGTCTTTGTACAGTAAAGATAGTTGTTCACGCGGTTTACGTTTCGGTCCGACATTGTAAATATCATGTTCGTTTCCGTGATCACTTGGTTTATTCACGATTCTCGGGGGTGAGTGAAAATGCCGTATACAGGAACAACAAGCATCCGGGGAGAAAATTATGGTCGAAAGATTTATATCATTGTTCGAC